TCGACAATCAAAAAAATTCTTTTGATACTTCTTAAAATCAGATTTTTAAAATGTTTTGATTGTGTGCAGTGGAATGGAAAGAAAAGAGGAATTTTTTGTGTGCTGATTCGCTTCTTTCTGCAAAGAAAGATTATCTCTGCAGTGGGTATTACTCTTTCACCTTTTTTCCAGTGTTTTCAGAAGAAAATACAGGAAATTCACTTTTAAATAAGTGGTCAGCGCCATTTTTTAAGGAAGGTAAGCATTACCAAGAATTCAAATCCACTGCAAAAAATGTGGGTTTGCTGAAGAGCTGGACCTCGATCTCAGCTCTTTGTAGTCCTCAAGTCCAAGCCCTTGCATAACGCTTTAATGATTCAAACTTCCAGCTTTATAAAAAAAAAACAGAAACCTCCTTAATTAGCGTGGTTAGGCGAACCTACCTTAGGTTAGGTTACAGCATCTGTTAACCGCAGACCCCTGTGTGTTATAGTTACTTTCATGGAAAGGGATGCTGCCAAGTAACTCTACAAAAATTTACTGGTTTGGAGAAGAGAGTTTATTTTTTAAGGGCTAATAAAAATGAGAATGGAGAGAGCAAGGATAGGGCAACATGGTGGAAGCCCTTGCAGGCCAGGTCAGAAACAAGGTTAACACGGCAGGGATCGGGGCCACTGTGACTCCCCGGAGCAAAGGGATCATGTGCTGAAAGCAGAGTTCCCAGGTGTCCTGGTCACATCAGTGTCTCCCACCCATGGTGAGAGGTAGAAGAGAGACCGTAAAGCTATTCAAGGTTAACACGGCAGGGATCGGGGCCACTGTGACTCCCCGGAGCAAAGGGATCATGTGCTGAAAGCAGAGTTCCCAGGTGGCCTGGTCACATCAGTGTCTCCCACCCATGGTGAGAGGTAGAAGAGAGACCGTAAAGCTATTCCCTGAAAAACATCGATCAACTGTTCTCTGTTTCCCTCTCCCACCCAGCCCCGGCCCCCTCATTGGCTCTGACTAGTAGAGATTGACGGCAGGAAGGCTGGTGAGCAGGTTACGATGGTTGGCTCTGATGAGGTGCGGTGCGGATAGGAAAACTGGAGGGAATGGGAAAGGCGGAGAAGAATGGGACAGAGATGGTGATAAACGGTGCCAGGGAAAGAAAGGCCGATTAAAATGATTTGTAGGGCTCGGGTATAATGCCAGGGACTGACAGTGATGAGACAGATACCAGAAACATTGTTACTGGCTTCACGTGCAGAGAGATGGCAGCTGGGCAGGTGTGAGCAGCTGGCTCTGGTAGAGGACAGTGGGCAGAGAGAGGAGGAGGAGGCGGGGATGTGGGGTGGCGGCTTCCACCGTTCACAAGATGCAAGACGGCTCAGGAGGAGAAGGAAGGCGAGAGTCGGATGAGGTCAAAAGGAGCGATGCCAGAACCCGTACGTACGTAGTACGGTGCCGGTGAAAAGGCACTGGTGAGTGTTGTAGGGAAAACGACTTCCTCCGAGGGTTGCAGGGAGGCCCCACTGCTCAGAACAGCCTTCTGCTGCAGTGTCTGCTACCAGGAGGGGAGTAAAACTTTCTGTATGGAAAGAAAAGGGGAAGCGATACCATTAGCTGGAACTGTGCTGTCAGCTGGTGGAACAAGCTAGTTGAGCCCCAGCCACAAGCGTCCTCAGTGACACTAGCTTGGTTCCTCCCCCAGCATTTCCCCTGGACGATGGCCTCCCTGTGGAACCCACTAGCGGCACCTTTCACTGTTGTCCAAATCCTATCAGTTTCTAAAAGAACTTCTTCAAACCCACTGGAGCTTCATTTAGAGAATTGTTTTGGTCAAGAAAACAGAAAACACAAGATATTCCAACCAAAGGGAAATTTAATCAAGGGATTTATGTGTGTATTAGTTTTCTGTTGCTTATAACAGAATAGCTGATATTGGGTAATGTAAAGAAAAGTTTATTTCTTACAGTCCGAAGTCCAGGGGCCACATCTGGTGAGGGCCTCCTTCTGGGTGGGGTGACTCTCTCCAGCAACTCAAGGTGTCACATGGTGAGAATGACCGAGCAAAAGAAAGCTAACCTCACTCGCTCTCCTTATAAGGCCACCAGAACCACGCCCACGATAACTTATTACTTCATAAATGGATGAATCCATTCATGAGGGCGCAGTCCTCACAATCCGACCACCTCTCAAAGACCTGACCTTTCAAATACCATGACTGGATTTCTCACCCTCTTAACACTATTCCAATGGAGATCAAGTTTCTAATACATGAACTTCGGGGGGACAGATTTGACCCATAGCAAGGTGCTTACAAAACCTTTGGAGAGCTCGAGGGAGTCAAGATCAGAGAGAGTCACTAGTGACGTTGGGAAACCAGCAAGTTCAGGAATCTCAGGAAACCCCAACAGCACTGAAGCAGCTGATTCTTGGGAATGCCCGGATGCCCCTGCAAGCCTGCGGGGTGCTGTTCCGGAACCCTTGGGCCTGCCTGCTGGCGTCAGGGGACCGGATGGCCTCCGCGTCTCCTCTCCCTTCCAAGACCAGCACGAGTGCCTCTCAATGGCCGAGTGCAAACATGAACTCCCTGCTGGTGGAGGAGTCCTTAAAACATAGTTTTCAGGCTTCCAGTCCCTGCCACGCAGGGGAGAGCTGAGCCTGGCAAAGACATGCTGCAAACCGACAAACCACACCTTGCCAGGAATAGTCAGTGAAATGCCAGATAGTGTCACATAGTAGACCTTCTCGGAGTCCTTTTCAATCCTTCTTGAGATGCAAATCCACTGCCTTTCCTTTGGTTTAGTGGTAAGAACAAACAAAAACCACACACAGTTTCCGTATCAGTACCGAGGTGTGGGAGGGCGAATGGATGACGTTTTTCTTTCACACTCCCTAAAGCGGTCCCCTCTCTCCGAGTTTGCAACCATCCAACATCCTTCCCTCCTTGCTGGTCCCCCAGGAAGTATCCAAAATCAGCATCTGTGTGACTTCCTATAGAGGGAAGTAGGGAACAAGGTGTACAAACGTGGGTGCACACTAGCACCCAGGAATAACCAGGTAACTGTTCCTCAAAGTAGATAAACTGAAATTTAATCAGGGTGCTTCGTCTTATAACTCATGCTGACTTGATCAGGAGTCACACTTTGGAGTCCCAAATTTCCAGACTTGATATGTGTTTTGCTACATTTCAGTTTTATTATTGCAGAAAATTATATTTTTAGCAACAGGTAAAGGAACACGTTAATAAGATGAGAAAAAGAAAAAAAGTGAGGACGTGGATTAGTAGAAGCAGGGCATACATGCCGATGGTCCCTACCACGTTTGAGTAAAGAGAAACTAAACTTAGTACATGAAAAAATATCAGTGGCATATTGTAAAGTCACATGCCAAAGCACAGCCCAATTGGTGGCAAGAACTGGCTAGTATTTGGAAAAATGTGTGATCTGTATAGATTGTACATTTTTCCCCCTCATGTAGTAAAAATTACTTTTGCCACTCAGCCTAATTTGTTACTATTTCTTATTGTTTATCTGTGAGCAGTACAGTGTCTAGCCACTAGCAGGCAGTTTGAACATATTTGTGGAATGGATGAATGGAATAAATGAAGAGTTGGCAAACTAGATCACTCTGGGAGGCTAGGTGTGTTGTGTCTCTGGGTTGTGTGTACACGTGTGTAATTTCACAGTAGGTATTAGTGTTTATGGTGGGTACTTTAGCAATAGCATGCTCTCGCACAATTCTGCACGAATTTGTGGTGTGGAGATGAATTCTGGTCAGTCGGTTCCTAAGCATACTTTTCACTTAAGACGATATCATCCTACTCCACACTAGGTAGAAGGATGGACCATAGGAGTCTTCTCAAAGAAAATAGGTTTTAGTGCAAAAAAAAAACATTAGTTTTTGATGGTCTTTCTAACCGTGTGTGTCACCAAGTGAAATGTGAGCTTTGGCAGTGTGGTTTTGGAATTCAAATGTTATCCATTGGAATGGACATTAATTACTTTTGTGCTGCTTGGCATATGCTGGAACATTATTTCTACAACAGTTCCACCAAAGGCACTTAGGCAATTACCTCTGCTGTGGTCGTCACCATCATCAAAATTATTACGTCTCTCCTGTTCTCCGCTCAGCTCGGCCGGATCCTGCACACCATAGCCCCCCTCTGTCCTTCCTCCCCGCTGCAGGAGGTCCCGTTCTCCCGCGTGTGGTGCAGTAACAGGCAGCCCATGCGCTGTGCCTTCTCCCTGGAGCGCTACACACCCACCACCACCCAGCTGTCCTGCAAAATCTGCATCCGGCAGCTCAAAGGCCATGAACAGATCCTCCAGGTGCAGACGTCGATCCTAGAGGTGAGTCCTTGATGTACAGGTCATTCGACCCCCTTCCTAAAGGGCAATAAGAATAATAAAGCTGTACTTAGCTCTGCTATTCAGGTTCGGAAAGAGCTTCACAATGGATGAACTCTTTTAATCCTCACTACTGATAAGGGAAAAAAAATCTTTTCTCAGGCTGAGGAAGGAACTGAGCTTCTACTAGGCAGGGAAATTCAACCCATCAGAGAGCTTACACTGTGAAAGGAGCTGGTACAGGGGTCTATACACAAAACCCAAGCAGTCTCGTAGTCCATACCAGGCTTGGCGTATCAGCTGAGATTTATTATAGGCTGAAGGCAGGTGGTGCAGCTGAGATGCAAAGAGGCACAAGGTTACCGTGGGCTGTTCTCCTGCTGGTTCCAACTAGCTTTCCAGAAGTCAGTTGCCCCTATATGTTATTTCACCTTTAGGGCCTGCGCTCCTGGTTTTCTTACATTTCTCATGCCCTTCAGGCTCCAGATTCTGCACATCCACATTTCCATTAAGCCTAGATTTATCAGTAGAATAATATAAGAAGAACAGGGTAAATGTTAATCTCATTCTACGAAGGAAATGGAAGTGCCAAGAGGTAGAGGGCCTTGTCCAGCTCCTATCACTGCTGAAGGGCAGAGTTAGAATGGGATTCAAAGGAGATTCACCGGGAAAGTTTACAAAGAGACGTCTGATCTCCGCCATGGCTCTGATTTTCCCTAAACCACAGAATGACATCATGGCTTTGGACTTGAGCTTATAGAGTAGACAATAACAGTCCCTCCAGAATGGTTATTTAGGGGTAGAGGGTTTGTTTAGCATTTTCAAGGTAATTCCTGTCTAGCATAGGAAAACATTTTATTGTCCACCTGTAGAATATATATATATACACACACACATACATATACATATTTACCAGAATATAAATAGTATATATTTATTAGTTTAGGGTTGGGAGAGGTTGAACACACTTATGTGTTAAATTATTATGCATATGAGAGGTCTTCAAAAAGTTCATGGAAAGATTCATATTTTAATTCCATTTTTCCATTAATTTTTTGAAGTACCCTCATAACAACTCAATTTCAGAGTTTTATTTGAAAATTTGTAGCCACATAGCATTATCACTTCTCTCCATTCTATTTTTAATTCATTGCTTATGCAAAATAAACATTGCTAATTCCCCAAATAGTTTTCTGTGGAGAGTAGATGGCTTTCCAAAGGATTGTGTCTTAAAACTGACAGCTGCCTTAACTGACGTGTTTATGCAGTATTTGCATTCATTATTACCAATTAACATTCTGTGCTAAAGCAGTTTTGATGGAGAAGGTAGATCCGGAAACCAGGAGTAGGATATTTTTAGAGACTCTTTTTTTGAACGGTTATGGCATATTTGACACAATACATTTCAAAGTAAAATTGAATTGTAGGAAAGTTTTAAAATAAAAACAAAAAGAAAAATCCAAGAACTATTATTCAGAATCAAGCATGAAAAGGCAGAACATAAAGATGCCTCAGACACTCTTTTTTTGAATGGTTATGGCATATTTGACACAATACATTTCAAAGTGAAATTGAATTGTAGGAAAGTTTTAAAATAAAAACAAAAAGAAAATCCAAGAACTATTATTCAGAATCAAGCATGAAAAGGCAGAACATAAAGATGCCTCAGATCCAAATTGCCCTAAATGTCTGCTAACAGGTCAACAAAGGATTTCCAGGTTTAAAAGTTTTTGTTTTTTAAGGCACCCGGATATTGGGGATCAACTTGTGCCATTTCAGGATAATTATATAAAAGGAATGTGATAGGGTTGGTACATCCTGGTACTTGTGTTCTTTGCTTAAATAAATTCTTGAAGTGCATGGAAGGAAAATTAGCTAATAAACACAATCTTATCCTTTACTTTTCAATTCCTCTTCTAATGCTCCACAAGTTACTTTGAAATGCCTTAAAGATGATGACGTCACAGTATCTTGATACTGGGAGGCAATAATGTTTAGATGGTCATTGTTGGGCTGCACTCATCCAGTTTGTAGGCTACTGCATTTTACAAGCCTTATTAACCCTTTTGATACTGTCAAGAATCACTTTATTCAGTGCTTCAAGCTTGACTGCAGGAATTTGTATCAATACATCTCCATCACTCTGTAATAAACTCTATTTCTTAGACAAGTCTAGTATAAACTTGTATACTAGTAGACAAGTCTAGTATAAATGATAATAATATCATTTTCTATGTCAGAAGAAGACTAATAACTTTTAAAAGCCACTGTATTTCAGGTACCATTTCATTTTCTTTCACGTTTATCATATAACCTTCACAACTCTGTGGATTAAATATTATCATTATCACAATTTTACGTGATACTATAGTCTCAAAGAGGTCCACGTTCTTGTCCAAAGCCATTGAGCTAGTAAGGTGGGGAACCAGAGTACCAAACTGAGACAGCTGACCTCCAGATCGAGGTCTGGACTAGCCCGCTGCATGGCTTCAGGATCCCGATCCAGGCAGTCTAGTTTATCAGCCTTAGCTGCGGGCCTTGTCCATGACGTCTAATGTTACAGCACTAGCGATTTTGTCTTTGAGTACATGAAAGTATATGAAAATTGAGAACTTCTTTCTTCAACAGAAGAAGGATGGGATGGAACCGTTTGTGTGATAGACTAGAAGTGTTCATCGTCCAGATCTTCAAGAGTAGAAAAGATATCCTCCATGTAGACTTGCCTGCAAATGGATGTCTTGATTGAATGATCATTAAAAGTTCTTCCAACCCTGGGATTGTCCGACTCCTAGGACAAGCATACATCTGGTGATATATATGCTGAGTAAAAACTTTCCTCTTTTCCCTAAGAAAATGACTTGATTTTTGAGGTAAATGTTTCAAGCAAAAGTGAACATACAAAATAGTCTTGAGAAATTGTGATTACTGGGAGAGGAGGCAGGATACATTTCTAGACATGGATCTATATCAATCACTGAGTTAAGAATCATAGATCAATTTTTTTTTTTTTTTGTCTTTTGTCTTTTTTCCGTGTCCGGC